AATGTTTAGGTTTAGAAGCTACATTACTATCTGTCTCTGTCTTCAAAATGGCTTTTATAGCCCTACCACCTAATAGCTAGCTTTGTACTATACACATTTCCAAGACTCTTTGAATGAATGCCATCTGACAGAAAACAAAGGTTAATTATCTTTGAAGAACGGCTTTGTGTTTGCTGTGTTTTAAGCCAGAGTGCACAGAGACAAATGTCATTATTTGCAGAATGCCTGTAGATCCTGTCAGGCTTTAGGAGAAGTCTTTTTGGTTGGTTTATACCAGAACACAATGTTCTGTAAAATCTAGATAGCACTTGTAATGAGATTTATATAAAGATCCTGATTATCACGTGGCTCCAGAAGGATGTGGGAGTGCAAATGAAGATCTGCCAGAACAGGATGAAGACCTAGCTGAGTAAAGGAAAGGTGCATCAGTAGCATTATTAGAGAGAGCAGGAAATCAAGTTTTCTGGAAAAAGAAACAAACTTATTAAACCTTAAATGTAGTCAACAGGATATCTGTTATGCCTGTGTATTTGTTAATGGAGTCTACCTTCCTTTCATATATTGTGCTCCTTAGGATATATAGGTGGCTAAACATTGATAAATGCTTTAATTTGAAGTGGAACTTTTGTTTCACTCCAGTACCTGACATTACGCTACCAATAAAATATTTTCAGCCTGTGAATGTTAAGTGTTTTCCTCTCAGATGCGTGTTTAAAATTCTTGGAAATGTATTTCTGAAGTGTTTCCTTTAAAAGCTTTGAGGAGTCTCAGCTGATTTAATTTTTTTGCGAGGTACTCATGGCCTTGCCTTTCTGATCAGGTTAGAGGCCTTTGTGTTTCCTCTTTGAGAAGCTAAATGCAGCACACTACCTTGCAGCTGGGGAAATAAGAATGGTCTCAGTTCATTCCAAGAGGCACGCTGGAGATACTAGACTTTTTTTGAAAAATAAAATCAGCTCTACATCTCTTCAGTACACTTGCTGATGTTTTGATTATTGACTTTTGTAAGGTATTACAAGAGGGGAAATAAGTATCTGGCTGCTGCTTCTTAGTTGGCTAATAACCTTTTTTCAGTATCGCTCTTACTACATGGACTGAAGAGTCTGCACTCAGAGCTGCTTGGTACGTGTTTTCCCTGCAGCAGGTTCACTGCTGTGCCAGCAATTCAGCTAAAGGCCAGGTTAGGTCACTTAAAATAGGCACCATCTTCTCCAGTCTTAGACACATAAATGTAAACACCTTCTGGCTATGGGGAATGACTGTGGAATGAAAATACTGAGAGAGTTGGAAAGGAAGGACACTGTGACAAAAAAGACTTGATTGTATGCTTCATCCTCAGACCTTTTTGCAGGCAATGCTTGCCTCTTACTTTCCATGTTTCTGACAAGGCAGTGGTCACACAACTGTGCCAGCAATTAAGAAATCAGAAATAAGAACGAATCCAATAAAATATGAGTGATCAAAAAGGTTGGTTGTGTTGTGGTTTTGTTTGTTAACAAGAATACAATAGGGGACTTTTTCTTGATTTCAGTAAGGCATTTGATACTGTCTCCCACAGCATCCTCGTAGATAAGCTAAGGAAATGTGGGCTTGATGATCAGGTAGTGAGGTGGATCAAGAACTGGTTGAAAGGAAGAAGGCAGAGAGTTGTGGTCAGTGGGGCAGAATCTAGCTGGAGGTCTGTGACTAGTGGAGTACCTCAGGGGTCGGTGCTGGGACCAGTGCTGTTAGGTATTTTCATCAACGACCTGGATGAGGGAACTGAGTGTACCCTCAGCAAGTTTGCTGATGATACTAAACTGGGAGGAGTGGCTGACACACCAGAAGTCTGTGCTGCCATTCAGCGAGACCTGGATAGGCTGGAGAGTTGAGCGGGGAGAAACCTGATGAAATTCAACAAGGGCAAGTGTAGAGTCTTGCATCTGGGGAAGAACAACCCCATGTACCAGTAGAGGTTGGAGGTTGACCTGCTGGAAAGTAGTGAAGGGGAAAGGGACCTGGGGGTCCTGGTGGATAGGAGGATGACCATGAGCCAGCAATGTGCCTTTGAGGCCAAGAAGGCCAGTGGCATCCTAGGGTGTATTAGAAAGGGTGTGGTTAGTAGGTCAAGAGAGGTTCTCCTCCCCCTCTATTCTGCCTTGGTGAGGCTGCATCTGGAATATTGTGTCCAGTTCTGGGCTCCTCAGTTCAAGAAGGACAGGGAACTGCTTGAAAGAGTCCATCGCAGATCCACAAAGATGATTAAGGGAGTGGAACATCTCCCTTATGAGGAGAGGCTGAGGGAGCTGGGTCTCTTTAGCTTGGAGAAGAGGAGACTGAGGGGTGACCTCATCAATGTTTACAAATATGTAAAGGGTGAGTGTCCGGATGATGGAGCTAGGTTTTTTTCAGTGATATCCAGTGATAGGACAAGAGGCAGTGGGTGTAAACTAGAGCATAGGATGTTCCACATTAACATCAGGAAGAACTTCTTTACTGTGAGAGTGACAGAGCACTGGAACAGGTTGCCCAGGGGGGTTGTGGAGTCTCCTACATTGGCCCGCCCGGACAAGTTCCTGGGTGATGTACTCTAGGTTACCCTGCTCTTGCAGGGGGGTTGGACTAGATGATCTTTTGAGGTCCCTTCCAACCTTTGGGATTCTGTGATTCTGTGACTTTGTCAGAAGGGAATCAGATGAGCAGTTTGTGTGCACTGTTGGGTAGAACAGCTTACCTGGTGCAGATTGCAAGTTTGATTCCACTGACAGCAGGGGTTTAAGGTGTGATCACAAATGTAGTTTTCTGTCTCTTTGTATTTATCACATCCATTATTATAGCCTGTGCAATTGGATTCTTTCCTTCAAATTCAGCTGTTTAGAACACAAACTCTGTCTGGAAGATGTCTGTCTAGACTCTCCTTTTGGTTAAAGGGGAGAAATAGCTTCTTCAGGAGTGTGATCCATCTCATTCCGGTCTACATTGGGCCTAAACAAGCCAGATGAATTGAACTCAGGAAGTTCCTATTTCTCTCCATTAACTTTAGAAAATGAGGAGAAGCAATTCATACAAAGTCATTTGTGTTGTGAAAGTCTGATGTTAAGGAGACCACACTGATCCTGGATGTCTTCAATTACATAAGTTTAGTTCTGAAAGCATATAGTTTCTGTCACAAAACTGTAATTGGGCATTATTGTGAAGGCACAAGCTGATATAAGAGGTAACTTTGAGAATCCCTTAAGAAAGCTGCATTGTTTGTCACCTGCATGATTTAAAAAAGCACACACACACAAATGCACACACATATAAAAATAGATATTAATTTCTACTTATTAAAACTGTAATAAAAAAAAATCATTGCCAGAATCTGGCTTTCCTACTCATAACTTGTTAGTTATTTCCATCACCTGTAAGAAATGGCATAGTGTTAGCCAACACAGTGAACAGACACCAGTTTGAAGACAGTACATTATTGCAAAATCTGTTAAGACAGTATCTTTTAGGTGACAGGTTTTGAAAGCACTGGAGTACAAAAATACATTTTTAACTAATGATTTAGATAAATGTAAATTATTCTGGAAGAACTGTGGTTCAGAGAGGCTTTTCCATGTTACAGAGTGGAACTGTGAGGATGTGCACTGGCTAAAATTATACAGATATATCATGCTTTGCTGCGTGTTCAGTTTTTCCCCTCTAAAAAGCTGTTTTATTGAGATTAAATTATTGTAGGGATATGAAAAGGTGTAGTTTGCTCTGAATTTATCCTTGGAGGACCAGCAGATCATTGCTTTTTCTCTGAAATTAGATAGAAGGATCCAGATGGCAGATTTCAAGCCCATCAGGTGTTTAAAATATGCCCCTCAGCTAAATGAAATATTATGGTTAAATCTGCCATGGCCTTTTTATTGCTCTGTGATACACTTGACAACTGCAGCCGTGAGAAAGAGAAGCTACAAGTAGCCCAGTCAGCCTGAAGTGGAGTAGGTCAGTGTTTGGTTTCTTTGGCCACACAGACCTGGTTTATGGAATCATTAAATCCGTCATGTTGTAAGCTCCCATGGAGGCAGTGAATTTGTTCCCAGATACTATGCCGTAGAATTAGAGAAGCAATGTAAGTGAAACATGAAGGGGAGAAAAAAGGACACCCTCCCCATCACCAGGAAAACAATAATCCCACATCTCTAAGAATTCCTCAGTAATAATAGTAGTAATAATGAAGTGCATCTGGGCTGGTGCCTTGTACTGCATTTCTCAGCTGGCACTCTTTCAGAACTGTCACATTAGGCTGAGTGCTGATAATTCGTATACCAGAATCCTTTTATCTGAACAGAGCAACGTCTTCACTGTGTACTTTTGGCAAAGGAAATGTACTGCTTTTCAGTATCTTTGCAAAGCAATATAGGCTTTTCCTTGCATATTGACAAACTGCTGCTAATCATGAAGAAAGAGTAAACCTGTCTGTGCTCTTGCAGTAACTATAAGTACTTGCACTCAAATCAGCTTTCAACACAGGGGCAATTGCTGCCTGATTCAGAGAAGAGGATGTTTGGGTTATTTATAGGCATGCATATGTAGATGTTTATACAGATGCTGATTTAGGGAAGCTAATACAGTTTTAGCATCTTCTCTGTTTCTTGCTTGTTTCTTCGTTTAAAAAAAAAAAAAAAAAACAACAAAAGCAGCCACAACCAAAAAAAAGCCTTTTATTGAATAAACAAAGTTGAATAAACAACTTTGTTTATTCAATAAACTGTAGGGAAAGGTAGCTATAGCTTGGTGAGCATTAGCAAGGAACTCATTTTGTGAAAGCAAAGAGCAAGATTTTTATCCAGAAGGTTGTAAGATCATAGTCAGTCCTGCATAAGCTGTCTTTGATAACTCCCGTGAATTGTAAGGACTGTTCCTGAGTGTAAATGCTCACGGCTAAAGTGTCATTGGTGCTTCCCCTTTCATGAGAATGTTACCCTGCAACAAGGTCATCCTGAGTTAACTATGCTTACATCTGAACTCTTCCTGTGATTTTCAGATTCCAGAGGGGCGACTACCACATTGATGTCTGCATCAATGACTACCTGGATGTGTTCTGCCCTCACTACGAAGATTCAGTTCCGGAAGATAAGACCGAACGCTATGTTCTGTACATGGTGAACTTTGATGGCTACAGCTCCTGCGATCACACTTCCAAAGGGTTCAAGAGGTGGGAATGTAATCGGCCGCATTCCCCAAATGGACCTTTGAAGTTCTCGGAAAAGTTCCAGCTCTTCACGCCCTTCTCTCTAGGATTTGAGTTCAGGCCAGGCCGGGAATATTTCTATATCTGTGAGTATATAGAGATTTACTACTGTTGCACCCCAGATGCAAGAAACCTAGCTAATTTTTCATCTATGCAGTGTGGAAATACAGAGGGCCAAATGCTATATAATGCAGATGTCTTACAGTAAATGCAGGCTTAACTATCCCCAGACATACTAGCTAGGAACCTAGATAGTGAAACTGAGATTAAATCACAGCTTCTTTTCTCACATGAAATAGCATGTCAGCCTGTTCACTGAACCGTGGTCGACTTTTAAAGCGAAACACACTATTATGTTTATTCCAGCATTCTGAGGTGGCAAAGGAGGAGGAGACGACAAGAAGAGTAGGATGGAAGCTGTCCACAAATATGATGAAAATAATTAATCCTTTGCTCAGTTAAAATGTTATTGTCTCCGTAATTACCCAAAGGCAGTGAGGCCTCTCTAGTTGCCAAGTGGTATGGTTACTGATGCTAGTACTCCAGTAATATTTAAAGTTTTAATTTGTTAGGGTGCATGTTTCTAGCATAGAGCCAAGTAGCTTTTTTTATTTCCTTCCTTTCCACACCCCATTTTTCTTAAACAAGCTGTTTCTGCCAGGGTGGGCAATGTGGGAGCAGGTGACAAGCAGCAGAGTGTGAATGGGCTCAAGCTCCTTCACACCTGCTGTCCAAACCATTGGGGAGCACCCTTCACAGCTCTGCTGTCTCCTCCAAGGAGGCCTGCATTGGGCTGCTCCAGCCAGTACATGCAGGATATCATCTGGGGATAAGGAAATAAAAACATCAGGAGGTTGAAAAGGAGTGGGTTAAGCTGATTCACTGGCCCCACTGTGCAGTTGACACGGCTTCAGCTGTTCTGTTTGTTTTTTCCTTCA